CTCAAAACGAACGTTGTTGGGTGTAAAACATGAGGAGGTGAAAGTGAATATTCCTTTCCTGCTCCATGAGTGAATGCTGCCATTTTCCTTTCTTCCACAGCACCACAATGAGACATTTGGTCAAAGCAAGCATCTGCTAGCTATTGGCTGTGGAGGTGATACTGGTGTCATGGTAACGTTACTGGATTAGTAATTCACAGACCCAAAGCTAATGCTCTTTGATCATGTGTTCAAATCCCACCCAAGGCCACAGATTCAATTAACTATATACAGAGTTGAAAGTTAGTAATGGTGACTTGGGCAACTATCATTGATTGTTATTAAAAAAATGCTTTCATTAATAAACTTTTAGGGAAGGAAATCTGTCTTCGTTACCTACTCTGGCCGAGATGTGACTCCCAGTAATGTGGTTGACTCTTAAATGGCCGAGTAAGCACTTTGTTGAAGGGCAGTTAAGGAGGTGCAACAAATTGCTACCTGCAACACCTACATCCCATGAGTTTAGAAAAAAAATTCTTAGATGCTTTAAAACCTCAGCACAGGGACAGCTGTTATGAGGGAAGAAAGCAGTCACGTGGATATGGAGAATATTCAAATGAGGTAGATTAAGGGTCAATAGATGTGAACCTGGAAAAACACAGGAGGTTAAACAGCATCCGAGGAGCAGGAAAGTCAATGTTTCGGGCTGAAACCCTTCGTTAGGACAGCGGGGCGGGAGGGGAGCCCAGAAGTAAATGTGGGGGAGGGGAGTGGGGCTGGGAGAAGGATGGTGGGGTAGTGATAAGTGGATGCAGGTAGGCGGTTATTGCGAATGGTCAGTAGGAAGGGTGGAGTGGATAGGTGAGTAGGAAGATGGACAGGTTTGGTCAGGTCAGTGAGGTGAGGAGGAGGGGAAGGGCTGGACATGGGATAAGGCTGGGGGTGGAGGGGTTTTGAAGCTGGTGAAGTCAATTTGAGACCATCGGGCTGTAAGCTCCCAAAGTAAAATATCAGGTGTTGTTCCTCCAATGACTATGACAGTGGAGGAGGCCAAGGATGGACATGTTGTCAGGGGAGTAGGAGGGGGAGTTAAAACGGACAGCAACTGGAAGGTTGGGTTGTTTGGTGCGCTCAGAGTGCAGATGCTCTGCAAACTGATCCCTGATTCTGCGTTTTGTCTCCCCAGTATACAGGAGGCCACATTGGGAGCAACGCATACAATAGATCAGGTTGGATGAAGTGTGGGTGAATCTCTGCTGGATTTGGAAGGATTGTTTGGGACCTTGGACAGAGGTGAGGGGGCAGGTGTTGTGCTTCCTGCGGTAACAGGGAGAGATACCGGTGGAGAAGTTAGTGGGTGGGGCGGGGGTTGTAGAGCTGACGAAGCAGTTATGGAATGAACAGTTTCTGTGGAAAGTGGATGGGCTGGGGAAGGAAATATCTTTTTGGTGGTGGGGTCTGATTGTCGTTGGCAGAAATGTTGGAGGATGATGCAGTGGATTCAGAGGCTAGTGGGGTGGTACAGGAGGGCTTAGGGGACTCTATCCTTATTGTTGATAGAGGGAGAGGTTTGAAGGCAGAAGCACGGGAAATGGGGGAGATGCGGCTGAGGTCATCTTTAATTACAGAGGAGGGGAAATTCCGGACTCTCAAGTAAAAGGATATCTGGGATGTCGTGGAGTAGGACACCTCATCCTGGGAGCAGATGCGGCAGAGGTGGAGGAATTGGGAGTATGGGATCACATTTTTGCAGGAGGATGGGTGAGAGAAGGTGCAGTCGACAGAGCTGTGGGAGTCAGTGAGTTGAAATGGATGTCACTGGTGAGTCAGTTTCTGGAGATGGAGATTGAGAGGTCCAGGAAGGAGAGGGAGGTGTCAGAAATCATCCAGGTGAATGTGAGGGTGTGGTGGAAGGTATTCGCCAAGTTGATGAACAGCTCGAGCTCCTTGCAGTAGCACAAGGCAGCACCTATGCAGTCATCGATAAAGCGGAGAAAGAGGTGAGGGATGGTGCCAGTGTAGTAAGGTGGGCATAGGTCAGGCCCATGTGGGTGCCCATGGCCACCCCTTTGGTTTGTAGGAAGTGGGAGGAATCAAAGGAAAAATTGTTGAGCGTGAGGACCTGTTCTGCCAAGTGGATGAGGGTGTCGGTGGAGGGGGACTGGGTAGGCCTACAGGAGAGGGAGAAGCAGAGGGCTTTTAGGCCCTCTGTGTGGGGGATACAGGTGTACAGGGACTGAATGTCCATGGTGAAGATGAGGTGTTGGGGGCCGGGAAATTGAAAGTTTTGGAACAGGTGGATTAAAGGTCCACATCTCCTTTGGTTTCCTTCTGTGTTTGTCGAATTGGAGGGAATTTTGATTTTTGAATGGTGAGTCCTAATGCTGTTTATGAAGTGCTCCGTGCAGGTTATCACTTGGAGAGGAACTGAAATGGGCAGGATTTTCTCCAGTGTCAATATCAATCTAAGGCTATCCTCAGTCCAGTCTCATGAAAGCAGCAGCTCCTACTCTTGTCAGTTCATCAGCCTTTCCTACTAAAATGAAAATTATTTTTAAAATATCAATAACAAGCTTTTAAAATTAACATGATAAGGAAAGGAACAAAAACAAAGGTGCTGGAAAAGCTCAGCAGGTCTGGCAGCATCTGTGAAGGAAAAATCAGAGTTAATGTTTCAGGTCCGGTGACCCTTCCTCAGAACTGATGGTGGCTGGAAAAATAACAGTTTATATGCAGAAAAAAAGGGACAAAAGGAGAGGGGAATGGGGTAAGGAGAGTGTTTACTCCCTACCCCATCCCCCTTCCCTTTTTTCTGCATATAAACTGATGTCTTTCCCAGCCACCATCAGTTCTGAGGAAGGGTCACCGGACCTGAAACATTAACTCTGATTTTTCCTTCACAGATGCTGCCAGACCTGCTGAGCTTTTCCAGCAACTTTGTTTTTATTCCTGATTTACAGCATCTGCAGTTCTTTCAGTTTTTATGATAAGGAAAGGAATGAGTTTGGGAGATCTGTAATGAGTAAATGAATGTTCCAGCATTATACAGATTATGTATATTTGTTGAAATCTTTCCTTTTACACCCTTCAGGACCACTCACAAGAAGTACTGACATAAAAGTAGTTCTTGGAATTTCTTGCAAATTGTCCTAATGAATGCAAGATGAAATGTTTTCACGAATTATGTCTCTTTTTCACTATTGCTTAAGTCCCCTGCTAGCAAATACCAAAAGGAAATCTTAATTGGAAAGACACTCTTCTGTAGTAATTCCAGCAGGGCAGCGAATTAGAAACATTGTTGAAAAATGACCACTTTATGCCAGCCCTAAGACTGCAGCATTTCAGATTCCATCTGCTCACTGGCTGAAACAAGGCGGATTTTAACTCCCAATGTTCAGCAGCAGGAACATGGATGTGATTATCTGGGGGCTTCCCAAATCCTGAATTACCCATAACTTCTGGCTGAAACTATTTCCTCAGAACTTCCAGCAGCATTATCCTCAAAGTTGGCTGTTGCCATTGGTCCCAGGTGATTACACATGGCTCATCATGTGTGCGCTGCCTTCATGCTATCTAATGGTAGCCTTTACAGTAGACACAGCCTAATGATATCAATGTCATTGGGTGGCAACCTTTCGACCTCTGGCTTTGTCACACTCTGGGGAGTTGGATGATTTTAATTCCCTCCGTGTCCATTCCCCAGATAAATGAGGGACTTCAAAACTGAGATAGTAGGAACTGCCGATGCTGGAGAATCTGAGATAACAAGGTGTAGAGCTGGATGAACACAGCCGGCCAAGCAGCATCAAAGGGGCAGGAAAGCTGACGTTTCGGGTCTGGACCCTTCTTCAGACGATGCTGCTTGGCCTGCTGTGTTCATCCAGCTCTACACCTTGATATCTCGGCTTCAAAACTGAGGTCCTTTCCACCTTGGAGGTGATGTAGATTAACATTTTTAAGTACTGAAAATCATTTAGAATTCGTATGTTTTTTAAGAGACAAATACTGAGAATCTTTCAAAGCACGAAGATATTGATATACCCAGACTGTGTGCAGTGTGACAGATTAGACGCACATTCTATTGTTTAGATTTTCTACAACTCCTTATTCTTAAGAGTGATAATTAGCTCAGGTGGCTGGATAGCTTGTCTGTAATGGAAGGTTGAAGTTAACAGTGTGGGTTCAATTCATGCACCAGCTGAGGTTACTATGAAGGACTCTCCCCTGATCTGAGGTGTGGTAACTCTCAGATTAAACCACTACCTGTCATCTCTTTCTAATGAGAGAGTGGAATTGTGGTGACTTTACTTTTAATTCTATGATCAGTAGCTTCTTTAGAACTGAAATGCTGTTGCAAGCTTTTCAACATTTGTATATTTGGCTTATGATTCATACTCTACCATGTTTGATCAAAAGGTAGCCCTTATCTTTGACTTGAGTTTTATTGGTGTACTAATCATTGTGAGACAGAAAGGAAATATATAAGCAGACATGAAGGGCTTGAATAATCGATTGGATGTGTTTTGACGCAGAGTATGATTGAAGGATATGGGAAGGAGACAGGCGACAAAATTTGTGAAGCTAAGGGACATTTTCTTTTGGAAAATTCTCTGAGGCACATCATTTTTTTAAATAAAATGTCAGTATAAAATGAGTGACAGGGTTGTCTTTTACATTTTTTTCTCCTTATTGTTTTGACTAAATTCACCAGAAATCAACAGCAGCTGAAATATTAACGGGAGCAGGGAGGTGTAAAGCGAGCTGCTGATCACTATGTGCTACTTTACAACAATACCCCAGTCTATATCTATGCCCAGTGGTTTTGCTATGATTTTTGTTCAAAATCCTACCATTGCTTTCCAGGTCGAGGGTGTTCCATGCGAATGGCAACTGCTGAAATACAGGGTGGCATCTGAACTCAGCATTCATTCTGCTCCCTCCTGTAAAGTCATGATCTGGAATCAAAGGGAAGAGATGTCATTGTTTTCCTGGCCTCGTTGTAAAGGGTGTCAATAGTTCTTTGCTACTGTATAGAAAGGGATTTGTAGTTGCTTGAAAATGCCTGCAGTAAACCAGACACAATAGTAACATAATGTGGCTGCTTCAGATACCATCTTCCTGCTGAAGGCAAAACACTGCAGATGCTGGAGATCTGAAACAAAACCAGCATCCGTGGAGAGGAATCAAATTGTGAAGGGTTGTACCATATTAACTCTGTTTCTCCCTCCGCACATACTGCCAGACCTGCTGAGTTTCTCCAGCACTCACTGTGTTTGTTTGTTTTCTGCTGATTCGGGCACTTTTAGAAAGTACTGGGAGCTGGGACTTCACCACATCTGAGTGAGTTCAGAACCAATGTGATCAAGAAGAAAATACTTTAAAAGATTTTAAAACTTAACACATGCATAATACTATATTTGTTTGACTTTTGCCATTTTCTTTTCCTCTTTCCTGCACTTCTCACGTCCTTATTCTCTCTTTTATTTCTTCCTCTTTATTGTTCTTTCCCTGCTTCTTTCGCAGTGGATCCAGATTTGTTGTAATTACCACTGGAACAAAGGCTTAGCCTCTGTTGCACAGAAAGGACATCGGAGTGACTTGAGTATATATGAGATTGTCCAGAGCCTCCCCTGTGTGTCTCTCAAGGCCCTTTGCCCCTGCTACTTGGATTTCCTCAATGCTTTCAGCAGCCTACTCCACAGGATCTTCCATGACAGATATCCTCATTATTAGTCACCTTCCCTCCACAGTGCAGGGTTGTGGTGGTCTTCAATGCTCTGCACAATATGTCAGACCCACCCTGGAACACACTGAAGGGAATCACCAGACCATTTTAGACATCTGAATCTCTTCTTCTGCAGCCACACATGATTGGTCACTCATGGGGAGAGAGTCAGGTTTTATACCTCTCCTGTGCTGCAGTGCAAGGGTTCCTCATTGCCGTGAGCAGCTGTGTCTTCAATGGGCAGCCCTCATCTCTGGGGATCCATTCATCAAGATGACGGGATGAGGGACTGGAATGGCTGTGACACCTAGTCCTGAACAGTACTTGAGCATTATGGCAGCTGTCTGTAAACAGCACCCGCTCCTGAAGGATCCACTTTCGATGGTCACTGTGCAGTTGTACGTCAATGGGGTGAAAGCTCTTTCTGTTGATAAAAGCCACTGGGAGGTCCATAGGAGCCTAGTGGCTACATCCATAAAGACAATGGAACTATACTCAAGGGGAATCCATTGGTGATGTTCCACACAATGGCTCTCTGTACCTGACTGTCTAGATCACTTCAGCAATGACTTGTCGTCACCTCCTCAAACCACAAACAGGCTCTGACATGGAGGATTCCACACATGTCCCAGTGCATCGGTGAAAAAAAATGATCTTCCGAACCATTCACATCAGGCATCTCCATGCTTCTCAGAGGAGTCTAAAGTATGGGGCTGAAGTCAGTGCTAGCCTCCCTCGAGTATCTTCATTGACATCTATGCACAGGCATCTGCAGATAGTATAGGCTTACATCTTTCACTGTTCAGAGAAAGTTCCCTCAACTCATTCCTGGGGTGAAAGGCTTAGTTTTTGAAGAAAGGTTTGACAGATTGGAGCCAAACTCCATTGGTGTTTAGAAGAATGAGAAGTGATCTTATTGAAACATTACAACATCCTGAGGAGACATAGGAAATTGGAGCAGGAGTAAGCCATTTGGCCCATGATTTCATCATTCAACTGGAACATGGGATTTGATAAGGTAGGTGTTGTGGGATGGATTTAGGGCAGCAGGCAGAACTAAGGGTCTCAGTTAGAGGTCTCCCTTTTAAGACACAGATGAGAATAATTTCCCCCATGAGGGCCTATGTGTGTGGAATTCTCTTCCTCAGGCACCGTTGGATGCTGGGCCCCCGAATATATTCAAGGTAGAGTGATGAATGAGGGAGGCGAGGGTTACGGAGGGCAGAGAATGATAGTGGAGCCAAGGCCACAACCAGACCAATTGTAATTTTATAGCATGGCGGAGCAGACTGGAAGGGCTGAATGGTCTAATCCTATGACTGTTCTCTGTGACCCTCTGTTCCAATGTACACTACTTCTGGGTGTTCTTTGGGCAGAGGCTCTCTACCTCTGTGTACTTTGCCCTAGAGACTAACCCTCTCACTGCTATTGCTGCTGTGGAGATACCGATGCCTGAACGTCCCTCCATTCATCTCTGTCCACCTTTCCTGTTCCTCCCAACCTCCCTCCTCTTTCACAGGTGAGGTTAGCAAGACTAGGTATTTGAGTCTCAACCAGTTGGGGTCCAGCCCCTCAAATAGAACCAAACACCCCCCCACCAAAACCTTCCCCTTACTACCACCTGCTGAACAGGGTACTGCTTCCCCTCTGCATCCCAACACCAGTCTCACTTATAGGATCACCGGCTGATCCTCTGTCGGATGGCATTGATGCTAATGGCGAGACTGCTGTATCTATGAGGTTCGATCACATGGGTCTGGCACCTGAGTGTTGAAGGTCCTGGTGAGGTCCTGCTGTCCTAAGCACCTGTACCCGATGTGAAGAGTTCATCAATGTCCCTCAGTGTGAGATAGCCAGACGAAATCTGCCCAAAGCAAAGGTGCCCAGAAGTTTCTCAGGATATTAATACAAGATCTCTGCTAGCTCCACTTATAGGACCATGCACACCCACTCCCCACCCCCTCCCACTCCCCACTTTACCACCACCCGCCCCCACAACAGACCCCTCCCACAATCACTGCCACCCCTACAGGAGCAACACCCTGTATAACTGGTCCTTTCTGAGACCTCCCTTTGCTGCAATTGCTGTACCCTCTTGAGGCAAAACACACTTTGAAAATGGCTGCCCCCCGAAATGGTGGTGAGGAGGTGTCTCTGCCAGGTTAGGGATCTGACATCCCAGGATTTCTGTGCACTGTTTATTAGTTAAAACAGCCTGTAATGCCACCTGATTGTATGAGAATCCCAGTTCACGACCTCCTGCACAGAGATAGTAAGAAATGCAGATGCTGGAGTCAGAGATAACACAGTGTGGAGCTGGAGGAACACAGCAGGCTAGGCAGCATCAGAGGAGCAGGAAAGCTGATGTTTCAGGTCTGGACGCTTCTTCAGAAATGGGGGAGGGGGAAGGGAGCTCTGAAATAAATACAAAAAGGTGGGGAGTGGTGGCAGCAGGTAGGTAGTGGTGGGGATTGGTCAGTGAGGTGGGAGGAGTAGATAGGTGGGGGAGGAGACGGAAAGGTCAATGAAGTGGGGACGGGGGTGCTTGGTCTTGGGATGAGGGTCGGGGATGGGGAAGCTAGTAAAGGTGAGTGTAGGTAGGTAGTGGTGGGGATTGGTCAGTGAGGAGGGAGGGTACCTACACTCACCTTTACTAGCTTCCCCACCCCCGACCCTCATCCCAAGACCAGCCACCCCCCTTACCCCCGCCTCATTGACCTGTCTGTCTTCTCTCCCACCTATCCACTCTTCCCACCTCACTGACCAATCCCCACCACTGCCTACCTGCTATCACCACTCCCCCCCCTTTTTCTATTTATTTCAGAGACCTCCTACACAGACTCGGATAATGTCACAGTGGTGAGCCCACCTGCATCTTCCTGCCCGCTAGGAAACATTTCAAAGCAAAGTTATGATGTTAGAGTTCCGTGTCTCAGTCTTTTGTCCCCTGCAGATTGGCTCCTATCTGTTTCTTCAGGTTTAGGTAATGCTGCAGCCATTGTGTCAGTTTTTGCAATAGTGAGTATTGAGCTGAACCTTCACTCACCTGGCTGGGCTCATTTCCCAAAACTGGGTCTAGTGTAACCCCTTCCCTGTTGTACTGTTTACATGCTGTGTCAAGAAACCCTTCCAAAGGGTTCTTACAAATCCTGCCCCATCTCAAGGCCCTAGCATGAAGTGAGTTCCAGTCAATATAAGGGAAGTTAAAATCACCCACCACAACAACCCTGCTGTTTTTACATCTTTCCAAAATCTGTCTACATATTCTTTCCTCTATCTCCTGCTGGCTGTTGGGAGGCCTGCAGTATACCCCCAGCAATGTGATTTCACCTTTCCTATTCCTGACTTCTACCCATGCTGCCTCGCTGCACAAGTCTGCTGATGTATCCTCCCTCAGAATAGCTGTGAGATACTCCTTTACCCACAATGCAACTCCCCCACCCCTTTTACCTCACTTTCTATCTGAAACATCTAAATCCTGGGACATTCAGCTGCCAGTCCTGTCCCTCTTACAGCCAAGTTCCGTAATCACTACAATGTCATAGTTCCATATGCTATCCAAAGCTCTAAGTCCATCTATCTTGCCTATTATACTTCTCGTGTTGCAACACATGCATTTCCGAGCACCTCCCCTGTTCCTTTCGGCAGCATTTCCCTGCCTGTTCTTGTTTGACTTGGTTTCTACCTCTCTCTCAATTTCTGCATCTACTGCCTGACTCCTCTGGTTCCCATCCCCCTGCCACACTAGTTTAAACCCTCCCCAACCAGTCTACCAATTACCCCTGCACCCCCTCCCCCCGCCCCACCCCCGCAGGGACATCAGCCCCAGTCCTACCCAGGCATAACCTGTCCAGTTTGTACAGGCCCCACCTCCTCCAGAACCGGTCCCAATGCACCAGGAATCTGAAACCGTTTGCCTCACACCATCATTTCAGCCATGTGTCCATCCTATATATCCTGCTGTTTCTACTCTGCGTAGCTCATGGCACAGGTAGTAATCCTGAGATAATTTCCTTTGAGGTTCTACATTCCAACTTTCTTCCTAGTTCTCTATATTCTGCTTTTAGGACCTCATCCCTTTTTTTTAACCTATGTCATTTGGACGAATGTGTATTACAACCACAGGATCTCTTCAAGAATGTCCTGCAACTGCTCTGAGACATCCACGACCCTAGCATCAGGGAGACAACACACCATCCTGGACTCTTTGCGGAGCCAGAAGAGGTAAGT